ATTGCCTCCAGTTTCCTGGGCGACTGCTTTCTGCTTGCCACTCCGGAGTCGATCTTCGTCTTCTCCGTTAGCATACTTGGTGGCAATGTCCATCATCCGATTCAGAGACATCTCTCCAGTTCGACCGAACTTCAGATTCAACTCTCTGTATTTAACACCTTCCTTGAAGGCACAAACCGCTTGATGGTCCGGCACGTTCTCAACCAAGTGATGCAGTGTGATCCACCTCTGGATGTATTCCCTCAGAGTTTCATTCGGCTTCTGCACGCAAGACCGCAGATCGGTTAGGCCTGCGGGTCGCTTGCATGTTCCTTCAAAGGTTGTGATAAACACTCGGGAGAGGTCCTCCCAAGTGTAAATGCTGCTGGGTGCCAACTGATTTAGCCATGCTCTGGCCGAGCCCTCTAACATGAGAGGCAAATGCTTCATGGCCACCTCGTCATTGCCACCGCCAATCTGTACAGCCACTCGGTAATCTTCGAGCCAGGTGTCAGGCTTAGATTCACCGGTGAACTTGCCGATTCCAGTCGCCAACCTGAAATTGGGAGGTATCACTGCGGCTCTGATGGCTCGATTGAAACACTCTGGCCCTGAAGCGCATACTCTGCTGCTGGCAGGAGCATCTCTGTTGTGGCCTTCTCGATGAGCTCTGTTCCTGTTAACCAAACCTTGAACGAGGATGGATCTCGCATCAAAGCCTGGGTCTCTGGGGTCGACTGGAATCCTCTGCCCAACGCTATGAGGGCGTCTGTCATCTTGCCGTCGAGGCGCATATGACCCACTCCTCGGGGGAGGGGTTGGCACTCGACGTCGATCATCACGGTCGAATCGGTGATCATACTGCTCATTCCTCCTGTACTGATCATGCTGGCCACCACGTCCCTCACGCCTCGGCGGCGATCTCGGGCTGTGAGCTGACTCGACTGTATCTGTTGCGACAGGCCGACTGTGGATCCTATTCCGCGACTGAGAGACAGCGGAATTCTGGTCTCCCGCCGCTCGGAGCAATGCTCTGATCTGTAACAAGCCTCTGCCAGCCTTCGACTGGGATGGCTGAATCGATTCTGCTATACGGGCCGCGGCGGCCAGATTCTGAACTGGGGTTCGATATACCTGCGTCGGTGGGAAGAGCTGGCGTCGACTAGACTCGGGAGCCCGCTGACGTGCTTGCTCGTCGAGTGCTCGCTGGAGATTCTCCAGTCGAGTGCGCTCGGCCAAGTTGGCCAAACGCGCGTCCTCCAAGGCCCGGGCCTCGGGGGTCTCTCCGACGATAGGAGTGCGGAGCGCGTCCATGTTCCGGCGGCGAGACTCCTCTCGCTGCAATGTCGTGAGAGGTTCAGGGAGATATTTGTCGTGGGGATGCGACGGATTGCCCCCACCCAGGCCTCCGTCAGTGCGAGGGAAACCAGGGGGACTGTGTGTCCCATCGACCGCCAGAACCTCAGCCGCTGGATCGCTACTGTCGCACTCGGATGCGGTCTCCATGGAGCCAGTCGACAGATCGAACAGGCCATAGAGGGATTCGACCGGCTCGATGGCTACGACTTGCGGGGCTGCCGATTGGCGGGCCACGGCGTGCCTCACCCACCGCTGAAGTCTTGACCGACCGGAGCGCTTGCGCTGGTGGGAGACAGGGCGGGGAGACGATACGGGGGCCGACCCATATTGGGTCGACGGTTGCCGCAGGAGGACGCCGCGAACGCATGCGTGGAAATGTGTCGCACCGCGGGCGGGGAGCGCGTCAATGTCGAGCGGCGCCTCCTGAAGCCAGGCAGAGTCGTCGACGATGAAGGTGAACGCGCCGAGACGGATCTCGCGGCCCTCCACCAAAACTCCGCAAGAAAACATGATCAAAGGGATCGAGAAAAATCACAACTTCTCCAACTAAGCGCTAAGATTCTTGCCCCACGGTGGGCGCCAACTGTCGTGGTTCTAACTCTGACAGTGATGTAGGGGGGTGAGTATGGAGAGGCGAGATCCTAGCTATGGGGAAGTTGTTACACGCGAGGTTTACGAGTTCAGGCTCTTCTCGGAGGAAGTAATAGCCCTACGTCTCGGGGCCCAGAGGCGGTCGACTGGATTATGCGTGTATAGGTTACAGAGGTGCGAACCCCCCCTACTAGGGAGGGGGGTGGCTTATATAGAGTTTGTCGGCCCCCTCCTGCCCTTAGTAATGCAGGGTTTAAAGTACATTTAAGATTGGGCGTTACTGGTAACACCTCTAATAAAGTGCTATAATGACCATGAAGTCTACTTAACGGCTGACCGTTTGCCTACAGAGCGACTGCTGATCTCCTGGCGGTCGAGTGATAGCTTCTTGGTCGAGTGATAGCTTCTTGGTCGAGTGTCTTGAGCCCGTCGAGTGGGATGCCTTCAAGTTGATTGAAAGGTGATTTCTCCCAGGGGTGTCCTAGAGTAGGACTCTTGGGTCAGGCCCGTGTCCCTACCCTAGGTACATGTCTTCATCATCGTCCCCTATGCCTCAGCCATAGGGTCTATCATGTATGCTATGATGTGTACCAGACCTGATGTAAACCTTGTCGTAAGTTTGGTAGGAAGGTACCAAAGTAATCCCGGCATGGAACACTGGACAGTGGTCAAGAATATCCTGAAGTACCTGAAAAGGACTAAGGAAATGTTTCTCGTTTATGGAGGTGACGAAGAGCTCGTCGTAAAGGGTTACATCAATGCTAGCTTCGACACAGATCTGGATGACTCTAAGTCACAAACCGGATACGTGTATATTTTGAATGGTGGGGCAGTAAGCTGGTGCAGTTGCAAGCAAAGCGTGGTGGCGGGATCTACATGTGAAGCGGAGTACATGGCAGCCTTGGAGGCAGCACAAGAAGCAATCTGGGTGAAGGAGTTCATCACCGACCTAGGGGTCATACCCAATGCGTCGGGGCCGATGACTCTCTTCTGTGACAACACTGGAGCTATTGCCCTTGCCAAGGAGCCCAGGTTTCACAGGAAGACCAGGCATATCAAGCGTCGCTTCAACTCCATTCGTGAAAGTGTTCAAAATGGAGACATAGAAATTTGTAAAGTACATACGGACCTGAATGTAGCAGATCCGTTGACTAAACCTCACCCTAGAGCAAAACATGATCAACACCAGAATTCCATGGGTGTTCGATTCATCACAATGTAACTAGATGATTGACTCTAGTGCAAGTGGGAGACTGTTGGAAATATGCCCTAGAGGCAATAATAAAATGATTATTATATTTCCTTGTTCATGATAATTTTCTATTATTCAAGCTATAATTGTATTATCCGGAAATCATAATACATGTGTGAATACATAGACCACAATGTGTCCCTAGTGAGCCTCTAGTTGACTAGCTCGTTGATCAATAGATAGTCATGGTTTCCTGGCTATGGACATGGTGATGTCATTGATAACGGGATCACATCATTAGGAGAATGATGTGATGGACAAGACCCAAACCTAAGCATAGCACAAAGATCGTGTAGTTCGTTTGCTGTAGCTTTTCTGAATGTAAAGTATCATTTCCTTAGACCATGAGATTGTGCAACTCCCGGATACCGTAGGAGTGCCTTGGGTGTGCCAAACGTCACAACGTAACTGGGTGACTATAAAGGTACATTACAGGTATCTCCGAAAGTGTCTGTTGGGTTGGCACGAATCGAGACTGGGATTTGTCACTCCGTATGACGGAGAGGTATCTCTGGGCCCACTCGATAATGCATCATCATAATGAGCTCAATGTGATCAAGTGGTTGATCACGGGATCATGCATTACGGTACAAGTAAAGTGACTTGCCGGTAACGAGACTGAACAAGGTATTGGGATACCGACGATCGAGTCTCGGGCAAGTAACGTACCGATTGACAAAGTGAATTGAATACGAGATTGATTAAGTCATCGATATCGTGGTTCATTCGATGAGATCATCGAGGAGCATGTGGGAGCCAACATGGGTATCCAGATCCCGTTGTTGGTTATTGACCGGAGAGTCGTCTCGGTCATGTCTGCTTGTCTCCCGAAACCGTAGGGTCTACACACTTAAGGTTCGGTGACGCTAGGGTTGTAGAGATATGAGTATGCAGTAATCCAAAAGTTGTTTGGAGTCCCGGATGATATCCTGGATGTCATGAGGAGTTCCGAAATGGTCTGGAGGTGAAGAATTATATATAGGAAGTGTAGTTTCGGCCATCGGGAAAGATTCGGGGTCTCCGGTATTGTACCGGGACCACCGGATGGGTCCTGGGGGTCCACCGGGTGGGGCCACCCATCCCGGAGGGCCCCACGGGCTGAAGTGGGGAGGGAAACCAGCCCATAGTGGGCTGGTGCACCCCCCCTTGGGCCCCCATGCGCCTAGGGTTGGAAACCCTAGGGTGGGGGCGCCTCCACTTGCCTTGGGGGGCACTCCACCCCCCTTGGCCGCCGCCCCCTTGGGAGATCCCGTCTCCAGGGCCGGCGCCCCCCTCCAGGGCCGGCGCCCCCCCAGGGGGCCTATATAAAGGAGGGGGGAGGGAGGGCAGCCGCACCCAAGCCTTGGCGCCTCCCTCTCCTCTCCCTCTCGCAGAAGCTCGGCGAAGCCCTGCTGCGATCATTGCTGCATCCACCACCACGCCGTCATGCTGCTGGATCTTCATCAACCTCTCCTTCCCCCTTGCTGGATCAAGAAGGAGGAGACGTCATCCGCTCCGTACGTGTGTTGAACGCGGAGGTGCCGTTCGTTCGGCACTTGGTCATCGGTGATTTGGATCACGGCGAGTACGACTCCATCATCCCTATTCTCTTGAACGCTTCCGCTCGTGATCTACAAGGGTATGTAGATGCACTCCTCTCTCCCTCGTTGCTAGATGACTCCATAGATTGAACTTGGTGATGCGTAGAAAATTTTAAAATTCTGCTGCGTTCCCCAACAGTGGTAACCTTTGGTAGTGGAATAGGCTCAGTTGTCTTGAAAGCATCAACTAAGTCCTTCTTCATATCTCCAAGCATGCAAAGAATAGCATCACCTGTTCGCTACCTCTTTGGCGCTAATTCTGGAGAGACTTCAATTGGTTCTTCTAATGGCTCTGCAGCAATCTCAGCACCTGTCTTCGCACCCTCGCCATTAGCATGATCTTTTGAATATACGATACATATGGACTCCCAGTTCTTGATTACTTTGGTCTTGTAAGACTTTATCTCCTTGCTTGCCTTGTTAGCCTGCACAATAAACACAAACTTGTAAAGCTACTGCCTTGTTATTCTACATATGCAAACTACATACAGCATGTGTATTCATGATGCATGGTTACCTCCACATATTTATCCCAAACATCATTACTATCCATTGATAGCCTATTATTGGTCCAACCCCAGCCGAAACCACTTTGAGAAAGGATTTTGCTAACGACCTCATAGTGATGATCCAAAGTCCTCATCCTTCCACTTATGTTATCCTTTGTGATATCCTTATTGCACTTGTCCTTCACATTCCTTATGGCATGCGTGTACACATGTGGTTTCCATCCATTTTGGGCATGGTCACCCTTGTTGTGATGCTCAACTAAGACTTCAAGCAATGCAGCATCCATCTCATCATCCCATGTGCAGTAATTCCTCCTCCTTGTACCTGCTTCTTCGGCCATGGCTCTACAAAGAGATAAAAATTGTACATAATAGAAAAAACAAATACAATATTAAGTTTGAGAAACAACATGAAACATAATGACATTCATTAGTTGCATAAAGATGATGCATATACAAAATACCACAGGCATCGTCACATTAGCCAGTAGCTAGCTATACAAAAGAACACCGCTGCTAGCTATACAAAAGAAGACCACCACCGCAGCTAGCTATACAAAAGAAGACCACCGCCGCAGCTAGCTATACAAAAGAAGACCACCGCCACAGCTACATATCATACTCTCATCCTATTCCATCTCTAGTTCTCCTTGCGCCACAAGGTACTCAGCAAACATATCATCAGCTAGTTGTTGCCTAAAGTTGGACCATTCAGTAGTGACTTGCACATTTCTAATGAAGTTGTCATCATCTGGATCATCAGTTGGCGCATTTGCTAATTAACTATCCACTTCAGGCAATAACAAATCATCCATGACATGCTGCCTATCCCTTGTAAAGTTGTGCAACACACAGCAAGCACTAATAATTCGAATCTGCAATGATATTTTAGTTCATAGTAAGCAATTGTCATCTCACATACTAATTTTATTTAACAACATATTTACTTTTTGTACCTGATCCTTTATGTCAAAGAAGGTTTGGGAACGCAAGATAGCCCATTTTTTTTGAACAAGCCAAATGTTCGCTCCACTACATTCCTAGCACGAGAATGGCACAAGTTATATAACTCTTTAGCTGTTTGAGGCTGTTGTGCACTTGCAGCCCATTCTTTTAGATGATACCGAGTGGACCTGAATGGAGCTAGAAATCCTTCTCCATTGGTATAACCAGCATCAACTAAATAATATTTCCCTATATCAATATAAGTTAGTTAGCTAACAATCAAATGAAAGAAACTACATGCCAAGAGTAAGAGTCATACCCTTAGGTATAACAAAAGCATCTTGGCGGTTTGTCCTCATTGCATCACGCAAAACTCTCGAGTCTGAAATAGAACCCTCCCAGCCAGGTAACACATAAAGAAACTTCATGTTCCAATCAACAACACCTAGCATGTTAGTGGTAATGGCTTGCTTTCTGTTCATATACCTTCCTTGGTCAGCCACATCAACAAGCACGTCAATATGGCAACCATCTAGTGCTCCAAGTGCATTACCAAACCACTTCCATTTGTAATCATCAGGAGCTTGAGCGGTAGCGGAAGGTAGCTTAATGAACTCCTCATATAGAGAGAGTAGGGCTGTTAGGACAGCAGAGAAGTGTGTACTAATGGTCTATAAAGAACGCTTGTAGGTGCCACGCAACATCCTCGTCTTGATACTATGGCCAACTACAAGTAAGAACATTGCAACTTTCTCTTCCACGGTCACATATACACTATCACGGAGGCCACATCTCTCCCGTAACATGGTGCAAAGGTCATGAAAGTTTCGTTTTGTTAGATGCAATTGATCGTAGCATGCCACTTTAGATCCATCATACATGGTTTTAAGCAAATATTTCCTAAGCCTATGCTTGTCCTCATCATCATTAAAACTTCCCAGGTCCCTTGGTCCCCTATCCCTTTGTGTAGTAACAAATGCTAGTGCAAGAGCACATGTTTCAACAAACAATTTAGTCAAAACAATTCTTTTCCTCTTCCGTCTTTTATTTTCTTCATTTATCCACTCAATCAACTCCAATTGATCCAACATTGTGCTGTACAAATTACAATTGAATTTTCTAGTCATAAGGCAATCAAAGAGACATCACATACACAAATGCATAGACAAAACAGAGGGGATTCAGCCATATACCTTCAACAGGCATGCAGATTGATGAACACTTCACAAATCTGCAGTGTTGAACAAAAAAAATTAGTCTTGGTGCAGCTGATTAGGGAAAAAAGATTAAAAAGACAGTTGAGGGTTCAGACTACAGAAAACAAACAGGGGTTTAGAGAGATTTAGAACAGAGGGCAGCTAGGGGGGGGGGCTGCTCTCGTGGATGTACAGGCAGCTGCCCGGGACGCAGCAGACGGGGACTAGGGAGCCACGGGCATGGGAGGAGTGGCGCGACCCGGGAGGATGAGTCGCAGCGACCCGGGACTGCAGAGGGAGCCGCGAGCTATGAACCGACCGGAGACGGGGGATAGAGCCGCGACCCACGAGCAAGTCGACCGGAGACGGGGACGAGGCCGCGACCTAGGGGAGGACCTAACCGGAGATGGGAACGGAGCCGCGACCTAGGAGGAGGACGGAGGATGGTGGCGCGACCTAGGAGATGCGGCGGACGAGGATGGACCAGGGGGGATGCGGCGGCGCCGGAGCTTGCCGCAGTAGGAGGGGCCGGAGAAGGAACGGACCTGAGTGCCGCCGCCAGCCCTGTCGACGCCGCCGCCCTCTCGTTCCTCTCTCCTTATCTGTTCGGCAGGGGGGCGGGGGGAAGAGGCTGAAGCGGTACGTTTTTGCGGGAGGAGCCATTTCAGAGCAATTCACAGCGGGAGGCCTCCGTGTTGTGGGCGGGTACTTTGGGTGGAAGCGATTTCGCCCTGAATTTGGTTTCATTACGGAGTGCCAATTCGGTGTCCAACCAAACATGTGAATTGGAAGTTTATCAATACGAATTCAGATTCCAGCCTTCCAATGGAGACATCCAAACGCAGTGTAAGTGATTTGTCAGCAGAACAGGTCTGAAAGTTAAGGGATTACCCCTGTTGCAAATGGCAATTCGATCACCAGTTGTTGAGATCCCTCGACTTTCATATCTATTCAACTGGTGCCACACAAAGTATATGAAATGGCAACCAATAAACATTTGAAACCTTTCAGCTAGCTAGGCTGGTCATCTCGTACCCTTGGAGCTAGCTAGCTAAGATTGTTTAAGCAAAACATGACAAGAGTTTTTGTATATATGCGGCAGTTGGTGGTGCATGGATGGCGTTTATTCACAAATAATCATTCCATGCCTGGGACCCTTTTGGCTTGCACACCACCGTTGTTCTTTTCCATTTTATTAGGCACCATCCATGGCGTACGTTGCTGGTGGTGGTGGTCACGGCTACATTATCGATCGGTACGCAGCAGAAGCGCGTTGCAGTATTAGCAAAGGGCAGCAGAGATAGACCTACGATGGAGGCAAGCGCGTGCGCGTGCGTGATCCATCACGGTGCGTGGCACCGGCACATGCATGCATGCAGCTGCGTGTCTACCGGAGGTCAACTCTTGTGGGATCTCCAGCCCCCCTCTGTTCATGTAAGTGCGTGATAAACTGATAATCCAATGTAATGGAACTATGGAAGGATCACTGGCGGAGCTTGACTTCATTGTCGGGGGGGGCCAAAAGAAAAGTACTTTATTCATTACACCGGAGCTTGCCTTCATTAGGAGATGATGCTTTTTTCTCTTCTTTATTTGACCAAAATGCTTTTTTTTTAAATGATGTTAGTTTTCTCGCAGTTAACTTTGAGTCCATCCTTCATTTTTTTTCTGAATTCGCCACTGCCCTCAGCTATACACATAGCTCCGCCGTTGGGAAGGATCAAAGAGAAGAGAATGGTGTTATCATCTTCGCGGCTTACCAAGATGGACGGGAAGATGACACGCACCTTCCTTCTCATGGTCATGGAAGGGATTGCCCTCTGCCTACAATTGCGCTTGGCCGCCATCCTGATTGTGCTGAGTTCAGACCTATTGCATCTCTTCCCTAAAACCTGAAAGATAATTCACTGAGTAAATCATTCAACGGGTGTGCCCTCCTACACTCACGAGAGGTCCTGCTCTTTGCGTCAAATAGGTGCCTTAACGCACAGGGGGGTGCAACTTGGCCAGCCTATAGCATAGAATCTCTAAAATGTACATCGAGTTTTGAGTTGATATTTTTGGTGATCTCACCAATGTGAGATCTTATACTAGTCTCCCCTGCTTCGAGGAAGCGCCCCTATTGTAGATACCCAGCTCCCTGTGGTGACCACTATAGCGAATCTGGCACTGTAGCAACAGTTTTCAGTTGTTTTTTTTGTTCCGAATAATTTTTAAAAGTGAACAATTTCCTAAATTTCTGAGCATTTTTTTGAGACTAAGAAATCATACATTTTTGAACCCGAATAAATTTTAAAAATGGGAAGATTTTTTAAAATTTGTGAACAAATTTTGAATGAGAACATTTTTTAAACAAATAAAAAATATCGTGGTCCAGAGTTCAGGCCTAATGCACCTCTTCTCTAACATCTGAAAGATAATTCACAGAGTAAATCCTTCTATGGGTGTAGCCTCCTATAAATTGAGCGCGATCAAAATACGGTTGACGATTACGTATTTAGCTAATCATCACTGCAGATCTAGGACCCCTAGACGTTCCATCGGAGAAAAACCACAATCTGGGCTTCTGCGGTCCTGTATCCTGGAATCTGGGCTTCTGTGGTTCAGCCGTGCAGCTCCCTCACTTGAAATCCTATGCGACGCTCTCTGCGTCAAATAGATACCCAGACGCACAGGGAGCTGCAACTTGGCCAGCCTGTTGTGCAGAATACACTGCAGTGGACACACCCTGTACATCGAGTTTTTTATCTCTAACTGTACATCGAGTTTTGAGCTGATTTTGTTTTTTGGAATCTTAGTCACACACCGCAGATATGTTGTCAAATAATTTCAGGGTTTTTTTTTCAAATGTCTATATATGAAATTTTTTTGGTTGATCTCACCTAATGTGAGATCTTATATAGTTTCCCCCCGATACAATAAAGCACCCCTATTGTAGATACCCGGCTCCCTGTAGTGATCACTATAGAGAATCTGGCACTGTATCATTAGTTTTGTAGTTTTCTTTATTTCAAATGTTTTCAAAAAGTGAACAATTTCCAAAGCTTCTGAGCATTTTGTGAGACCATGAAATCAAACTTTTTAAAATTCCCTGAAAAAATTTTAAAAATAGGAAGAATTTTTTAATTTGTGAATTTTTTAAAACGGGAATTTTTTTAAATATGTAATTTTATTTAATTTTTGAACAAATTTTGAGAACA